TAAATGGCGTACTGGTATTTATCCATAAGTGTAAGCGACAAGAATAAGTGAGTTTTTTCCCTTCAGAAAAGTGTTCTCAATACTGAGGCGTAGTAGGCGCGTTACTTTCATGATCAACCATCGTTCAGCATATCCGACAGCGATACTTCTGCTTCGGGATATAAACTCTGATTTGTTGTAAAACCAATAATACAACAACCAGCAGCACCCAGCACTGTTCCTTCCGATGATTTCTCGACGACAGTACATTCGCATATTATGAGAAGAAATTTCTTCGAGAACGGGTACAGCGAAAAGAGACGGGTCTCGAAGTTTTCCAGTTGAGACCAATATACGGAATAGTGCTGTCATTAGTGCACAATTATTGATCCGTTTGCCGATGTTTCTCAACGACGGTTTCTTTTCATCATCATCATCGTCATCACCGACAAAAGCGGCAGCAGTTTACGTAACGTATATATACGTATGTAGACCACAAACTGGATGGATGGATGAATTGAGCGGATGAACTGACGAGCGAACGAGTGAATGGATGATTCTGTTGTTTCTGTTTGTAAAGCATTTTTGAGTTCTTGTTCATCGTCTTTTTAGTTTTAAACTTGTTGGTGTTTTTCGCGGATGTTCCATCATTTTTTTATGTGTTTATTTATTTGTTTTTTTGTTTTATTTTTATTTTATTCTATTTTTTTTTGAACGATTTTTCATGGTGAAAGAAAAAAACTGAATAAAAAATATTTGTTTTACATCGGTTTTATTGAAGTTGTTGTTCTTGGTATTTTGCGTCAACGCTTACTGTTTTTATTCTTTTTTTAATTTTACATCTCTATGTTTCTGTCAACCATACTGTTTTGGTTAAGTGCATTGTATATGACAACACTGATTCAGAGGTGTTTTTTTAATTTTTCATATGGAAAAAGTAATTTTGAATTTTTCTTTCTTTTCATTTTCTTTTATTTTTTTCATTATTTATTCGTTTTTCTTTGCCGCTATTTCGCTTACTTGGCTGGTTGATTAACAAATGGAAGATTATTAAACAAGGAATATTATTTAGCGTGTTTCAACAGCATCATGGTAAAGCTGTTTGTTGGTGGTCTGCCGGAAGGCGTAGATTCAATTCGGCTTCGTCAACTGTTCTCACAGTTTGTGCTTGTTAATGAATGTGATGTTATTAAGGATTATGCGTTTGTTGTAAGTCTTTTTTTTTGTTTTGTTTTTTATTTCGTTTTTTTCTTTTTGATCAGCGGTATTGATCACTCATTGGTGTTTTCACCGGTTACTCTCAGTAACAAATGGTAAACAGTTCTAATTTCAGCATGTTGCTGATGAGGAGGCTGCGCGTATAGCTATCGAGAAATTAGATGGTTACATACTAGAAAATAAAGCTATAAACATTCGGAGGTTTTTTTAAAGAAAAAGATTCATGTCAATAATTAAAATTTGATGCGCGTAATCATAATTTTTTCTAAAAACATGAAGAGTGATGTTTTCAGCGGTCTATTTTGCGCGCTTTTAAGCAGAGTTATTTTTAGGTCGACCTCCAAATTACGTAGAGAACCAGGTATGGATAAACGATGTTATCGTTGTGGTTCATCTGAACATAAAACTCCTCAGTGTCCTCAAGATCCTGCTTTAAAAAGACCGAACGCTGGAGTAGTGACAGGTCCTGACCAAAAACGACTCGCACTTGATCCACTGTACGTTTTTAATAAGTGTCAAGCCATGAAAATTTCCGTTTTCTTATTTGCCCGAACGTTTTCTAAAGTCACTGGATTTATTAGATCACTTCTTGGGGTGCATTTGCTGATGCGTTCATTTTTAGAGCTTCTGGAGGGTCACCATCTTATACTCCCACTATTAAAATTGACTTAACTGGCAGGAACCCAGAGGTTGCTGCGGCATCTTCAACTACGTCATATTCATATTCACAGTCACAGGGTGCTGCTAACCAAGTTGCAACAACAAATTCGGTTCCCGTTGATACTGATGCGGAGTTACCGCGTCCACATGATAGGTTGGTTTTTGCCTACGTCAGAATTGGGAAAGGATTGTTGGTAATTGTCATTGTTCCTAAATGTTTTGTTTTGTTATTATTGATCCTGTTGACGCTTGTGTCGTGCTAGTGCATTTTTGATCTTGTGATTGTTTCAAATTCGTGGCTGTTGATTTATAAAATGAATTAAGGTAAGTAACCTGTTGTAAGATGGGTTTAATCCGGCGGACAAAGTGGAAGTTTAATGTGTTATTCTTCATTTGGTTTAATGATGTAACTGTTATAGTTTGGAGGATATACTGCTTCAGCTTTAAACTGGGGTTTTCTTCACGACAGTTGTTGTTGCATGTGTCCTGAATTTATTTTATTTTATTCTCACTTATTTGTGGCTAATAGTGGGTATATAAGGTCGATGTATCGTATTAAGTCTATTTAACTTTATATTCATTTAATCAGGTTGCAATGCCGCTTTCGGCTTTTTGGCAGGGTGGGTAGGTATGCGTTCGCTGTTTTCATTTTTGAAATCATTAAACTTTCATGTATAAGTAATTTTTTACTTTTATTTTTCAGTGATCTTATACCATTGTATGAGCAATATTTGGAGTCTCGAACAAAGTATTTTTATTTCCGAGAACGTCTGATGAAGGAGGTGAAAGTCAGAGCCCAGCTGGCCCCCTATAATCAACCGTCAACACTTCAGGCTCCCTATGCTAGTGGTGTTTACAACGCTTACCAACCACAACCTCAAACATATTCACAACAGTACTGCTTTTCTGCCTTCGTGGTTTCTTTAGCGCTAAAAATATAAGGGTTTTTGAACGGATTACGGTTGAATTTCGTAAAAATTTTTAAAATGGGGTTCGTAGTTGCTTGTTCCGCGCGTTATTGCCTTAATTTACATTAACACGATATTGTTCAAAACGTGAAGATTACATTTGGAATTTAATGGATGGAAATTTCTTCCATCAGTGACTGTCTAAGCTTCGCAATAATGCACTTTTGTTCGTCGTTTTCAACACTGGAATTTTCTTATCTGGTGTTCTCCGATTGGTAAAACTGAGTTTTTGTTCTCGGTTTTTTTTAATTTTTTATATTTTTCAACCTTCGCATCGGATTTACGTGTAATTATTTCAAGTTTGCTTTCCTAGAAGACAGAAGATAGGCATAGACAGGCCGTTAAGTGAGTTTGTTTTTTCTTCGTGGGAGCATATTTGTTCGTTTCTTATTTAAATTGTAGTTCTGGAGACATTTGAAACATCATTTAGCGTAACCTAACTGTTTGGTTTGTAGCCTAAAGTGAGTTTCGCGTTTTTAAGGATTGTACTCGCTTTGGGAAAGGATCTCTTAAGTTTCCCTTTTTACGGGCACATCGAACTGCCTGTAATTTGTTTTACAATTAAATATCTTTTGTGGATTTAGCAATTTTTTACTTAAAACGCGTTCAAAAATGTAATTGAATATTAGTTTAAGCTCTACTATTTAAGTCGAATGTTTTTAAGCTGCTGGTATTTTAACGGTGGTAAGTTCTTTTTTCTCAGATTTCGATCGACTCGCAGTACTTCCTTCCGCGCATCTGTCGCTTATACATTTTTTTTAATAAAAATGCGAAAGTGTCGCCTTTTGTAACGTCTTTTGCGCAAAGCTGTTTTACGATTGTACTATAAAAAGTTTTTTGATTTTGACCATTTCTTTTTGCAGGCCATCTGCCTTGACCAACCCATATGTGAACGCATCGCATTATTACTCGAACTCGGTGTCTGCAGCGCCAGTTCCAGGGTTGCAGACAAGTACAACTACGCTACCGCCTGTACAACCAACGCTGAGTACTATAACGAGTTCACAAGCTACTGTTACTCCATTGCCAACAGTCCAGCCAGCAGCCAGACTTTTTTAGCATCACTGTCATCGAGCAAGAGGCACTGGTACATTTATTTGTGTTTTTCACTGGCTTATATTCATCGTTGGCTTTATTGAAGGGAAAATTTATAAGCTTTATTTATTTTTCAGTTCAGTAAAATAGAGAGTTTAGCAAATGTTTTCAAACAAAGTTTAAGAATGGAGGAGGTTAGAAAGTTTTGAATTCAATTTTCTTTTCAGTAGAGTTTCCAGATTCATTGTTTTCTTGCGTCTTAACACTTGTTATAGACCTGAAAGTTCTTTATATTTATAAGGTGCAAGAATAACTTTAAAGGTTATCGGTTATTTCCTGAGGTTGTCGAGATTTTGCGCTTAAGTTTTGTCCAGTTTTCTCGCTTTTATGATGTTTGCTTTATTTAGTTCATTTTTTCTCTTCTTTTTTTATACTTTTACAGAAGTTTGTTTTGAAAACCGACTTCATAGCTAATAAAGGATTAACTTTCAAGGCATTTTGACTTACAGTTGATTTCTGGTAAAGGAGTTTTTGTGAAGTTCTTTTAGAAATGTTGTTACATTTGTCATTTCTATAGGCTTGCATAGCATTTGTCACGTGAAGGTTGATTTGCGATTCGCTTTTGTATTTGATGGAAGATCTTGTATGACAGTTGAGTTCTGGAATTTTGTATTGAATCGTTAGTGAAATTGATGTAATATTAAAGGATTTTTAGAAAGTGGGCAGAGGTATGCGCTGTCTTTTTCAATGCCGTAGCTGTTACCGATGCTATGTAGTCGCATGATAATTTCATTTGGTTTAATTGGGGTTTTATGCTTTTGTTAATTCTTTTCTGACAATCACCTCATCAGAGTTTTTCCTGATCTGCCGTGTTGGTTGTTACTGTTGTGTAGCTCTTTTCAGTTTTGTCTAGAGTCTGTAGACCGTGGAATGTTTGATGTTTTCTTTTAATAAACATGACGGATCAGATTCATCTTGGTGTGTCGGGTTCATGTTTTCTTTTTTTTTTTTTTTTTTTTTTTTTTTT